GATTGATCTCAGTACTAGTACTAGAGCGGCACTCGACTTGATTGGTTCGATAATTACATCCAGTTTAGCAAGGCCATCAATCACGGCCACTTCTCGATACTTACTAGTCACTAGCTGCGGGCAGCGATTCAGATTCTCGACTTTTATCCTGGTGCGTCTTCCCGTAACGTTAGTTTGAGGGTTTGATGACTGTTAAAACATTGACGTTTAGCAGCAAAGGATATACACGAACGTCGCTCTTGATCTTTTTTAGGAAAGTCTGAAATACTACTAATACTATTCATATAGAATAGCATATAAGCAGTGATCTCGGTCAAAGGTGTCGATGGCGGGCCACAACTGTTTGAAAAATAACTCAACTTGTGAAATTACAATAGGTGCAGCTTGTCCTTCGGCAACTTCCACCAGCTAGGTGGGTAATTGTCGTCTCCATTTTTCTCTGCGACGGCCTGACTCTCCAGTTAGTTGCGTCGACGCTGGTTCATTATATATCTCACCACCAAAGCACCACCTTTCCACCGAGTCACGAACCCCAGGCCCTCAATGGTACACCTCTTTTAACGTGACCGCCACCCATAACAACCTTGCACTCTCGGCCTAACTCTGCATAGCAGGCATGAACCGCTATCCTACAACACCCAATCTGAACACCTCCATTGTATCCATGTGCTCTCTGCTGCCTCCCAATGCCGCCTCGCGCCATCTCTCACACCGCCGCTTCCTTTCGGAACCAACCTCCTGCCATATCCTCAGCGCCTCCTAGCAACCTGCTGTTGGAGCCGGATTCAGGAACAATCTCGACGGAATATGGACGAGCCCGACCTAATGGTATAACGTTTGATATCGACCGATGTTCGACATGTAATACAAGACAGGTGCTGGAGGCATGGGAGGCGCACTGGGACGAGAGGAAGCGCTGGACGGAATGCTGGAGGCTTGTAAGAATGTGCTGAGAGGGACGGGAGGAAGCGCTGGAGGCTTGTGTGCGTCGAGGCTCGCTAGGGTGCACTGGAAGTTTGCAAGTGTGCACTGGATTTGAATTCGGTGCTGATTTATAATTAGTCGTCCATGGTTGTACATGGAGAAGAAAACACGAAATAATAATGGCACCACAAAATATACCAAGAGGCTCGCGGAGGAAGACATACCATTTATCTTGAAGTGAGCCTCGTAAGGGGGTGCTCAAAGTTGGAGGGCATACCCTATAAATAGATGGTGGAAGATGAGTCTCTCAAACCAGTTTCCCATTACGTGTACATAGAAGTCCCACTCAATTTTGATTTTATTCTGCCAGCTTATTCGACGCAGGCGTCACTGAGCCTGTAATGTGCTGAATGGCTTGAGTATCTGAACATTCTGTCTAGGTCGGTTGGTCTCACTGGCAGTGTGAACGAGTGTGTGCGATGAACACGCCAAACTCAAACACGGCATCCACGATCACTGCATCACACCTAATAATGCGGACGAGTGGCAATCCAGTCAAACACCACAAGAATCTCGCCTGCACAATACCATGGAGCCCGTGTCATCTCCGTCATTTGGGTATGATGTACCGCAGCTGCAGTTCGGCAGCGCACAACACATCCTAGCTGCATCCGCAGTACGTGGCGGGAATTTGTGCCACAGTACCCCTCACTTCGCTGTAGATCTGTCACATCTAGGCTGCGCCGCTCACCTCGAAAAGCCCGCCCCTGCACGCCAACAGTCAGTCCCCTGGAACCTGCAAAGTACGCTCGTCAGCACATCAACACCCTCAATAGGTACTCACCGTGCTGTTCTACTAGCAACTTTCAGTCCGGGGTCATTTTTTTTGTTCAGAAATTGGAAAACGAGCCCGAGGGAAGACAGCGGGTGAGACAAAGGCAAAGAGAGGTGGGAAAGGGGGTGAATGTAAGGGTAGCCGTCGGGTCACTGGTCGTGAAGATGGAGGCGACGACCGGATTGCCGATGAATCGTGGGATGAAGAAGGAACTGAAGTTCTTGACTTGAACACAAAGGACAGCCCGATGATCTTATATGCATATGGGACGAGCTTCACAGGAAGATTGTGACAAAGGCTAAGTTTGCGTGGCACACGCTACAAGCCTTAAGGAAACCGACATTTTGACAAAGTGTGAGTTCTTTCAATATGCAAAAACATAGTTGGTGATCTTATCGTATGATAGGGCATGGACCGCCGTTCGTGCCCATAACTCCTAGAATTCCATATGACCCCAATAGGCACCGAGAGTAGTGCTCCCCGAGGTGCCTGAGGCACGGTTGGTGCTGCACTCCCGCTGTCACAAAATCATAATTCTAATCCTGCATTCATATCTCACTTCAGGGTAGAACACCAATATTCGAGTAGCAGACTGTCGAACGATCTTCAGGATTCAGGTAAGATTTGTGCGTTATCCAGTGCGAATCTTTTGAATTTCATTCATTGGCATGGCGCAGGTATAGTATCAACCAAAGATAAACGACCTACGTGGCAAGACTCTTTTCTAATAAATATCAGGTGAGTGTCGCCTGTCATAATTCACCATCTCACCATGCTCTCAGGCTCTTCTTACGATATACTCATTGTCGGTGCCGGTATAGCAGGCCCAGCCCTTGCCTATGGCCTTGCCACAAAGACATAATAAGCGCAACGCTCCTCTGCGGATAGCTCTACTTGAGTGTTCATTGTCGAAGCCAGACCGTATCGTCGCCGAAATGCTCCAGCCTGGCGGTGTTACCGCCCTCAAGACGCTTGGTCTGGAGTCATGCCTCGGGGAACTTGGCTCTGTGTCTTTGTCTTTGTTAGGTTATCACGTTCTGCGAGGGGAGCAGGGCATTTGCGCTTCATTCCCTGAAGGCCATGTCGCGAAAGCTTTCGACCACGGAGCATTTATCATGGCTTTGTGCGACCGCGCACGGCAGGTGCCAAATATCGAGGTGATCGAAACCACAGTAACCGGTCTCATTGAGGACAAGGACACACATCGCGTAATAGGTGTTCTCGCTTCCAAAGCGGGCGGTCAGCCAGGGTCATACTTTGCTGTCCTCGTCGTTCTTGCGGACGGCTCGTTATCCAAGTTCAGAACTGCAGTCCTCGGGGACATGCCATATGAACCTTCGCAAAGGGGTTACCTGGCAGGTCTGACTGTGAAAGACCTGAAGCTGCCGACGCCTAAGTATGCCACTATGGCTATACTGAAAGGCGCTGGACCAGCCATCCTTTTTGAGCTCCCCAACAACGAATATCGGATGCTGGTCGAATTGAAGCAGCAGCCGCCGCCAGACCTCAAGGTTTGTAATTCTGCCTTGTTGTGTGGTCGTGATCGTCCCTACTTACCATCAGTATTGCAGAAGCATATAATGCGCGACATTGTTCCTCAACTTCCATCATCGGTGCGCGCACCCATTCTCAATGCTCTGGAAAAGTCACGTGTGCGACGAGTCCCGCATCATTATCTTCCGCCCATAAAGCAGGGAGAATCTAGCAAGGCAGGCGCCTTTCTACTGGGTGATTCATTAAATATGCGCCACCCGCTCACTGCGGGTGGAATGACGGTTGCCTTGAATGACGTAGTCATCCTCTCCGATCTTCTGGCCCACATCGAGAACTTTGGCAACTGGGATGAAATCTCGGCCGTCCTCTGGAAGTGGCACCACATGAGAAAACCACTCGCATCTACTATCAATACCATGAGCATGAGTTGGGCTGGCATATTCGCAGCCGAAGATACGTCAATATTTTCTATCAAATCCTTGAGAGCCCGTTCAGCAACCAATGTTTGAACAAGATTTTGGTTTATGTATGTGTTTGTGTTGGAGCGGCATGGAAGCTGCCGTGACGGAGTCTCAATAATCTTTCCTTCCGATCATGACTACTCCCTGCACGACTCGAGGTCAAATCAGTCCTTATCAGCGAAAGCAGATCCACTTGGCTATCACTGTACTCATAATCTCTACTCAATTTCAACTATTTAACATGATTGAGGATGGTGAATCCAAACAATCCAAGGCCCAGTGGAGTGAGGAAGAGGTTGATGGCCTTCTGTCATATCTACAACTGCAGGTGTTGAAGATTGTTGGGGTCACTTTTAGAGATGAGACATTTTGCGAGGCTGCAAAGAGCATTGCGCATCTCTCAAAGCAAGGATTGCCCAAGGACATGGCACAATGTAAGAGAAAGTGGAAAGTGGTATGTCTCCCTTTATCATATTACCTAGCTACATCGCTAACTACCCCTACAGTTGAAACAAATCCATCTCACCATTGAGAGATATCACAATTGATCTGGATGTCACTGGGACAACGTCAATGGCGCCAATATACATGAGCAAGCTGCAGAAACTCAGTGGACCCAGTTTATTGATGCCAGCACTGGAAATAAGGTATGTTTATATTGGCATCTCCAATGTACTACTTTATGACTTACTTACAGATTATGAAACCATTTAAAACCAATGGGTGGAGATATTGGGAGAAGATGTCAGTGATTCTCCTGAATGGGAGTGGTGCTCATGGGGGTAGTGCCTACAACCCAGCTTCCTTGGCTGTGCAGGCTTCAGGGGGTGCTACTGCTTCTAGTGCTGAGGCAAGTGGGTCCATGGCCACCACCACCAGCACTGCATCAAGTGGAAGGATGATGGGACTTGATGTCAGTGTGCCAAAAGCTGCCACCACTGGTGGGGCTCATGGCCTTGGATGGGGCAATGCCAGCCTCGACTTTCATGCTGGATGGGATCAGGTTGTGTCTGCACTTCCATCCATCACCCCTGGAATCACTCAAAGCTCTATGAATGTGCCCCCTCCCCCCTCTTCTGTTGCACCCTCCAGCACCAGCAAACACTCTCACTCAGACATGGTCCTTTCCTCCAACACCACCCAAACTTCAGCATCACAGGTGGGTTCTGCCAATGCCAACAAAAAGCCAAGGTTGTCAGCACATGGTGGCAGTCCAATATCGTGTGTCGCTAGTAATCAGATGAGCTCTAAAGCAGCAAAGGATGCTGCTAGCACTGCTGCCTTCATAAATTTACAAGGTTCCATCAACTGCCTGACGGACAGCCTTCACTTGTCGGTGGCCAACTCAGAAGAAACTCGGGTGGTGGATGAAAGGTCCCAGGCCTTGGCCTTCATGCAGGATGAGGAGGGCATTCTGCCAGTAGACCAAATCACCCTCATGAATGTGTTCTCAAGGAGCCCAGTGGTATGCAGCACCTACTTGTCTGCCAAGGTTGAGAATTGTGTCCCCTACTTGCAATCTGTTCTTGTTCAGGCTGCCAGGGGGGATTTTGGACCGCTTTAAATCATATTCTCACATGCAGATCAAATTTCGTCTCTTTCATTGCACTTTCATCTCAGTTCTCATTCATTTGTCTTGTTTTGTTCTTCTTTGTTTCTTGAATCATGTTACATAGCTGTCACTCTTTAATATGCAGCACATATTGTTGTAGTCCTATGTACACTAAATTGCATTGTGAATCTAGGCATCATTTTCATCATCATCCTTGCTCCCATAAAACTCATCTATGTCTTCCAGGTCCTCTGGCTCTTCATCAACATCCAACAAGTGAAATACGTCTTCTAAGTCATAGTCCTGTAATATATTCTGGTAGTCTTCCCACATCTCTGTTGCCATGTGATCATGAAATGTGTTTGCATCCGCATCATCACCAATGATTGCATTGACATTGTCAGAAGTACCTTGATCGTCCCATGCTTGACTGGCTTGTCCTTGAAAGGTAGGGTTGTCATTAAAGACAGCCCTCTGAGGAAGACACCCTTCATTTAGGTCATGAATAAGTATGTAATTGTGCAGTGCACATAGCACTGTGGGAATATGAGCCTGGATAGCTATCTTATACTCTGGGGCAACTAAAAGAATGCAGAAGCATTGCTTCATGATGCCAAAAATACATTCAATCACATTATGAGCAGAGGCATGACAAAGGTTAAATAACTCTTCTTTGTTAACAGGCCTAAAAATGTAGCATTGGATGAGCTAGACTACAAAGAGAAAAAAAGCCTTGCCTGACACCAGCACAACCCCATTCAGCCAGGTGGTACCGAACACCATGGTAAGGAACCAAAAGTTGTCAGGATGAGGGGAAACCAAGGTCTGCAAGAAGGTATTTTCCAGGCAGAACATTCAAGTCATCATTTTGAGCTACATCCCAAAGCAGTGCATCTGTCGCTGATCCCTCCCATCCAGTCAGTGCGAAAGTGAACTTGAGGTCGAAGTTGCAAATGAAGAGGCAGTTTTGAGATATGAAACCTTTTCAGTTGTAGTATAGATGGTGGCTGGCTGAGGGAGGAAATGCATGAATATGATTGCCATTGATTGCTCCGATGGTATCCCAGAAATACAGCCAATGCTTTGGGTTGTTGCGAATGGTGCTGGAGACAGGAGTGTCGACTGCAGGAAGGTGGACATATTTCATGTAAAATGGGTGGTGTTAAGAACCATGCTCAAAGGAGAGAGACTGACTCAGATGGGCTTGGCCTCAGCTTGTATGCTGTGCTGTCATATCCCACAATCCGGACCCACATTCCATCATATTCCCACGCCTTCCAAGCCTATGTCCGGACCACACTTCATATCCAACTCATTCCCAGATCCCCTTCCACTGTGTGCTCCACACCTCAGCAGGATCGACTACACTCCGGATTTACCCCTGAGCTCCAGACCATCGGATCTCCACTGCTAGCCTGAACCATAACCCCCTGTCCCATCCACCCTATGTACACTCCATCCAGCAAGACATTCGGACTTCACCTTGTCTCGGATTCTGGACTATATCCACCTTCTCATATCCTGGTCCTGTATCCACCTTGTCTTCCAGATCCCCAGATCTCCGGACCTCTGGATATTAACACTGGACCTATTCCCACCCTCTGTCCGATATCCTGCACCTATCCCCATTTAGGCATTCTCTGCCTTCCGGCTTTCGGTTACCTCTTGTTCTGTCTTGCTTATTGATCCTTGTACGAGTCCTCATCTCTGAGTTCATTTACTTATGTTCTGACTTACTTACTAATGTGTTTCCACATGCTCGTACATAGCCCTGCTCCTTTGCTTATTGATCCCCTCAGATATTCTCCAGTATATAACCCCTGTAGATACTCCTGTAGTTTCCTTAGTTTGAATATCAACTTAGACTTGCCCAATCCTCTCTTGGACTTTGATCCACCTAAGTCTGTCCTACTCATCAGGCCTAGGGATTGATTCCCTAGGCCGGAGCTTTGCCTTTCCGGCACTTACCCTCTTTCTGGACTTAGGTCCAATCCCTGTCTCTCCGACTCTACCTTAGGGTAGTCTACCTCTGTTTGTTTCTACATCGGATGAAGTCCGATGTAGCTCCTATTCCTTCTGGACCTCCTGTCCCTCATACCTCTGGGCATCCTGTCCTTCGGATGTTCCACCCTCCATACCTTTGGACATCCTGTCTTTCGTACCTCCAGACTTCCTGTCCTTCTGTCCTCCATCATCCTGCCCTCCTGTCCTCCTGTCCTTCTGTCCTCCGTCATCCTGCCCTCCTGTCCTCCTGTCCTCTGGACCTTTGGACCTCCTATCCTTCCATTCTATTTCCTGTAGAAGTATTACCTTGTAGTGGGAACTCTCCTGAGCACTTCCTGCGTTCCTCCGGAACTCTCCCGCGCTCCTCCGGAAGTCCTCTAGTGCTCTCCAGCAGAGTAGCCAGCCTCTGGAAGTCTTCTGGACTTTGTCGGACCATCATTGGACCTCATATGAAATGAAGGGCACATACTTGGGTAAGGGGCACAGTGTACAAGCTGAGGCCAAGCCCCTCTGAGTCAGTCTCTCTCCTTTGAGCAACATGGTTCTTAACATGTGCCCCTTACCCAAGTATGTGCCCTTCATTTCAGAGGAAGTCCAATGATGGTCTGACAAAGTCCAGAGGACTTCTGGAGGCTGGCTACTCTGATGGAGTGCTAGAGGACTTCCGGAGGAGCGTGGGAAACGTCCGGAGGAGTGTGGGAGAGTTCCAGAGGAATGCAGGAAGTGTTCAGGAGAGTTCCCACTGCAAGGTAATACTTCTACAGGAAACAGGATGGAAGGATAGGAGGTCTGAAGGTCCAGAGGACAGGAGGACAGGAGGACAGGATGATGGAGGACAGAAGGACAGGATGTCCGAAGGTACAGAGGGCAGGATGTCTGAAGGACAGGATAATAGGATGTCCGAGGGTTAGGAGGACAGAACGTCTGAAGGACAGGATGCCCGGAGGTATGAGGGACAGGAGGTCCGGAGGTCCAGAAGGAATAGGGGCTACATCGGATGAAGTCTGATGTAGAAACAAACAGAGATAGACTACCCTAAGGTAGAGTTGGGGAGACAGGGATTGGACCTAAGTCCAGAAAGAGGGTAAGTGCCGGAAAGGCGGAGCTCCGGCCTAGGGAATCAATCCCTAGGCCTAATGGGTAGGACAGACTTAGGTGGACCAAAGTCTGAGAGAGGATTGGGCAAGTCTAAGTTGATATTCAAACTAAGGAAACTACAGGAGTATGTATCAATCTCTTGAAGACATGAATATTGACCCCAAGCTCACAACGGATGTGATCTGGGTGACCAAGAATCAATTCGATGACCCACTCTTGCCTGGTCAGGGCTGATGTGTGGTAAGGCTCAGGGTCATTAGGACTGTCCTGTAGGATTACATGTACAGTAGCAGTAAGTAGTACACTGAAGATAAGAGTGATATAACAAAAAATGCACTGGTGAAGTGCAGTATCATGAGCCTGGGGGGAGTCTGAGTCCAGTTCAAAGGTTGAACAAGCGGAACCACAAGAGGTCTCTGTAAATTAAAAGTGTTAGCAAAGAGTGGATTTGCAGGTCCTTGATCCATAGATATCATATCATATCATATCATGTTATCGCTCACTGACTACTTTCAGACTCAGGTTGAATCTCTGTCATGCTCATGCTGACCAAATCATGTTTGGTTTGGCAAAGTCTTGTTCATGCATCGGTTGCTGAACAGGCTCTGAAGGCTTATGATTGTCCCTGTATGTAGGTGAGGCATTTGACATTATGCAGGAGGGAGCATTCAAGTTTTTCAGGAAAGGTCCTGAGTATTCTGATGAACCCATGTCATTAGCAGCAGGGTCAGTAATATATTGATAATTGTCACGATCATGCTGATTTGGTTCCAGACTCCCTACATCTGCAAAACCACTGAAATGAACGCTTAGCTTAAGTGCTTTATGGACACTTACGAACACTTATGACTTTAGTAGCACACTCACGCGATTAGTGGAGATGCTTTTACAGTTATTATTTTATTTTGCAATTCTTAACTTATGAGAGATGGAGAACTGAACATTTTGATCAATGATAATCTTTTGCATCTTGCTGGAGATAGAACACGAGCTTGATTTGATCTCAGAGATAACATAGTTGAACCAGACAACATAGTGCATAAGCTGACATTATCACAGGAAATGTAACTAGTGCAGGTCTGAGCACAATGCATGATACACCTCCTTGTCTGAAAAATTGTTCAGGTAAAAGTGCTCATACACCTCCATACTTGTTGCTGCACTTGCCCTATGGTTAGCTCCTTCGCCATACACAGGGATAAGCTCTACTGCATGTGTGACATCTGTGAGCAGGATAACTGCACCCAATCTTGTCCTCTGACTGCCAGGCCCATTGTGATATTTTTGGGCCACTGTATACATGCTGATGGCAGGCTGATCACATGGATAACCAACAACCTCATAATATTGCACATACAAGAGCAGTTGATCCACAAGGTATTTGGGAAGTGTGACGTGGCAAGGCGGAATGGGCTGAAAGATAGCCTGCACTTGCACAATGAAATTACTGTGTATACCACAGTGAGCAACATATAGTTAGGCGTAAAAATAAATCTTACCAGTATGGTCACCATGTATCAACTGCACAATTACTGCATCACAGTTTCCCAGAGGAAATGTTTGTGATGGTGGAGCAGCTTGGACAACTTGACTGGGCATAATCAGCTGTGAGTGAAAAATGGAGTGCAGCTGTAAATGAAATTTATTCCATGTCTTCACATGACCATGATCACAGCTCCATGATGGTTGACTGTTAGAAGCCTTTGTGATGTAATCAGACAGTGCTCATCCAAGATCTGGCAATGTGTAGAGTTGCTGGACTTCATTAATAGATATCTTGGCTCGATCAGGAGTGATGGTAATGTGGAAGGCAGTCATTGCAGTGTAAGACAGTATGCCCTTCAGAAAATGGTTTTGAACCAGATGGGGTCTGACAAAACAGCATTGATTTGGATCACCAGGTGTGACATGGGCAATCCATGTAAGAGCAGGGTTGGTCTCAGTGGTCTCTTGCTCTTCTGTGACTATGGCATTGGTGAGGGGGGTGTTGTGCATCCATAGGAAGAGGTACAACTGAAATCGCTGCATAGACTCCTCATGGTTGAGAATATCAACGATTTGCTCTGTAAAAGTGCATGACTGGCGGGATGTCCTCTCAAATGGAAGCTTGCAATGAGTGATGAGAAGGTGTTCAGTGACATCAGCAGTCCATTGGATGAGGGCACCTATATCCTTAGTGAATGCAGCAAAACTCTGTAAAAGCTTGAGCTTTGGGATAAGGAAGTTGTTGATCATTCATTTGGTGCCTTGTCTAGCTCCTGCATCCAGGATCACTTGTTTATGATCATGAAACTCTTTCAGAGATGCAACCATGGAGTCAATTGAGGCATCTGTATAAACAGGGCTTTGGGCCTTGTAAATGAAGTCGATCAAAGCACAAATTGTGTGGATGAACTTGGGAGGCACAACCCCAGCAATGGAAGGCACCAAGGTGCATTGTAAGTCCTGGTGTTCCTGGCCAGTCATTTGCTTCATCTGACACACTCTGGATGAAAAGTGACACATTCCTACTCATTTGTGATGACTTTTGAATTGGGCATTTAGCTCATCCTTACCCACCAGTTCTTTGGACCACTTGAATGGGTGGTCAAAGAAGAATTTATAGCAGGTATGGAGAACTTCCCCTACTAAGAAGCAAGAAGGGTCTGCAATCTGCCAATTCTGCCAAAATGGTTGATGAACGCCACTTAGTGAATGAGCCTTGGCTTCCTCCTGAAACTCTCGCAACCTCCATTGATCAATGCATTGACAGATCTCATATATTACTGAAAGGGTGTGTTCCTTCATGCATGGTGTATGGCGATAGCTGTCACCAAAGGATTGAGATGTAGCCAATGTAATGGGAGAAGTGACCTTTGAGACACACACTATGGCTTGCTGTTCTGGTAAATCTGCAGTGTAAGCAGCCAAAGGTGTGAAGCTATGTCATACATGGCCAGAAGGATCAGGCATAAACTTGCCTGCCATGGCTGCAACCTTAGCATCTGCAAAGATAATATCCATACACTTATAGAATAGTCATTGACTTAGGATAGTTTGGTAGTCAGCATGAACATCAGTAAATTTTGGAATAGGCATGAAGCTGACACATCGCCAAGCATGACTTGTTGCTCTCATCTGCACATCGGACTGAATATTGGCAATTGAGACAAAGATAGGGTGCATTTTGAGCCCTCCAGTGTGCCGTGTCATGAGTGTCTTGTCAGATGCAATGATTATTGGAATGATGGTAGTACCTTTAGGAAGCTGTTCCTGTACCAAAGTATCAATCAACCACTGCAAATAAGTGCATGTAATTTTACCTGAATCTCAAATGCTTGTTGCACTGTAAAATATTCACTGTACTCACACTCATCACCATCAACCACAATGTGCAGGTCATATGTCATGTGGTTGGCAAAAATTGGATTAGCAAAGAGATCTGCCACTACATCTAAGCCATTGCACCAGATGAGCTGTATTGGTTGGACAGTTGGGTATCCTGTGATCTTGAGTGTTGTTGAACACCATTTTGGTCTGGTGGGAATAGAAGCCATCCATGCAAGTAGCTGGTCTTTGAACCAAACAATGGTTTAGCTCAGCATACCTGTGAGCTGGAAGTGAGTCCTGCATGTGCATAGAGGATTCTCGTACCAAACAGACCCATTCAAGCTTGAGAAATCAGTCAATATCACTTTGCATGAAGCGCTCGCAGAGGAATTTTCCAAGTTCAAACTCTGCTTGGTCCTGAAAGGGGTAAAAAGGAGTATGATGTCACTGGTAAGCAAACTGGTCGTTTTCCATGGCCTTGAGGATGTTTGGTGCCTTTCTGAAAATATAGCCAGAAGATGGGTGGTACCGTCCAAAGATGTGGTCTTTGCCTGCTTCTGAGGTAGATCGAAGGAATGCAGGTGGGACAGGAATGTGACAGTCTTGCATTTGAGGCCAGCAACTATTTCCTTGCTGTAGGTGTTCTAATACTGCCTCATTGGAGGGCAGGTTGACAAGACACTGGGGGCATTTTGCAGAAGATGGTCTGCCAGTTGATTCAGAGGTTGCTCAAGTGAGTACCTTTGAGAAACAAGACTTACAAATTGGCATCAAGAACAAATTGGCCAGATTGTCCTCCCTGAGGGCTGGATGATACAGTGGGATGGTTGACCTGCATGCCAGCAGTATAGACTCAGAGTGTTCAACAGACAGACTGCACCTGAAAAACCTCTAAGTCCTTCAAACTCCACCCTCTAGTTGGCACTGCAATACTCCCATCACACCATAACAGTGTAACCCCCCTCAGATTAGCCAGAAAACTGTGGTATGTATTGCCTATCTATACATCAGCCAGGAAATTGACATTACTAGCATTAATATGGATGCTTACTCTGAGAGGTCCACACCCCCTCTGTCTGACTCTGAGACTACAAGCTCAACTTGTGTCAACCTATCCTTATCTCCCTTTGCTCAGTCTGGTTCCAAGTTGGTGTCCCCTCCTAAATCTTTGACATCATCCAGTGTCACCTCTGCCTTGGACTCTGAACACTTGAGGTGTTGCTATACTGGAGGGAAACTAGCTCAATGTAGCTGCAGCCACAGCCTCTCCTTAGTAAAGCCTCCTAAGCAAGACTGACTTTCTTGCTTTTGTGAACAATTACGTGCTTGGTACAGGCCACACATTGTTAATCAGTCCCCCCCCTATGAGCTCCAGTTTGCAAAGAAGCACATGCTGGATGGCTCATACAAAGCTCTCGACCTTCAAGACTTGTATGAGGTAGGATCTTTTTTTTGTAATTTAATGTATTCTGATTTATCAAGTATATAGGGCATGGAACTTCTCCAGAGAGGTTTATCCCTTATGTCTGATGATTCCTTTACAAGGCAGTTCAAGTGAAGCACACCACCAAGGAAGACCTCCAGCACCAGCTCATGCACACCACCTGGCAGCTCAAATGTAATAGGAGGGAAAAATCCTTCCTCAAATCTCTCCAGCAAGAACAGGAAGGTGAATTCAAGATGGCAGAGACTGAAATGGAGATATTCAGGGGCTTTATGACTGCTTGGGGGCTCCCAGCCTTGCAAGACACCAAAGACTACCTTGAGGCAGTCTTTGTGGAGGAACTGGATCAGTATGATGTGACCAATGAGCAGTACAACCAATTTCTGACTCATGCGGGGAAGCGCACTGCTTCTTTCCAAAACAGCAGTGATACCAAACCTTCAGACACCCACAGTGATGTGGGGTCTGATAATAGCCTAATCTATCAAGCAAACAAATGAGAAACTGGGGCACA